ATTTCACGCGAATCAAGTCGCAGACACAGCTAGTATATAAATATAATTAAAAAGAGCATGATATAATTATTATTTCCTTGCTTTAATGTAAATACAATTGTTATCCTTCATCATACTGACTAAAGGTCTAAAAAATACTGCTTAAATATTGGACAGTTAACTATGAATAAGAGTAACAACAACAATGAATTTAACAATTCTTATCACACTCTAATAATATATCCTTTTACGAGGCAAAGTCATTTTTAAGAGACCTTCACATTTTTCAATTCTTTTCTAATCAACGAAAACTGTATTTTTATCTATAAAGATTTTTGCTTACTTTGCGAAATCATTAATTCTCATTTTTGCTCCATCGTGACATTTCAAAAGGAATAAAAAGGAAACACGTTCACAAAATCCGACCCATCACGTCTATCTGAAAAAGTCAACGACAGCCCTGCATGATAATATTTTTCAGCGTGTGGAAGCGATCAAAGCTAATTCGTCATCAAGTTAAAGCATAAAATGAAGTATCATCAAGCGTGAAGTGTGTTCATCAAGAAACTGTTGATTTTATAATAAAAATGAAAAAAAAATTGGCGGCAAACTCTTAAGTAAGTGGTTACTGCAGCCCACAGAAATCTACATCTATCCTCAATTACGAACAAAAATGCAGATGCGTTGTTACCCGCGAGGACTAAAAATGGTATGCTTCCTTCCATCCAGGTGTAAGAAGTGATGCTCTTAAATTAATTATTTCATATTTAAGTGACAGAACGCAAAAAGTTGTAATTAATAGTATGAGTTCTTCCGGGTCGACTGTACAAATGGGCGTGCCTCAGGGCTCAATTCTCGGCCCCTTTCTGTTTCTTGTATATATTAATGACTAACCTTTCATAGTAGGGGATAACCATGAAATAGTATTATTTGCTGATGATACTTCATTAATTTTCAAATTAAATTCAAATAAAAATGCAGTTAAAGTAGTCAATTTTTAATTAATCTTCATAAATGGAACTAAACCAAAAGGAAGAACGGATACCATCATTTTCTGGAATCACACTACGCAAAGCTTCAATGGCTTCCCCATATATCAAACTAGCTAGCAGACTGCAGCATATGCTGTAAAAAAGATTAGTACTCTTACCAGTGTTGAAACAGCAAGAATAGCTTACTTTAGTTATTTCCATAGCATTATGTCGTATGGAATTTTGTATGGGAAGAATTATAATTATTTTGCAGAAGAGAGCCATTAGAGTAATATATAATTTAAAACCAAAAGAGTCACTTAGACAAAATTTTAGGAAAATTAATATATTAACTCCGGCCTCTCAATATATTTATGAAAATGTAATGTACGTACACAAAAATAAACGTAGATTTGCAAAAATAAGTGATATTCATTCTGTAAATACTAGGAACAGACACAAGCTAGTAGTACCAGTTACTCGACTCCACCGAGTCAGTAATTCATTCTTGGGGCGATGTATACGCTTTTACAACAAAATCCCAGAAAATATACAAAATTTGTCATACGCAAAGTTCAAAAATTTTATTAAACTAAGTTTTTATAAAAAGGGTTATTATAATATTAAGGAATTTATGGATGATAATAACCCCTGGGAAGGGTGATCGCTACCAAGCTATTTCTAATTTGTCTTGTGTTGTTAATTGTAAACATGATTGTAAGCTATTATTTGAAAAAAAAAAATAGTTCCGCTGGGTTTCTTGCTGGTTCTTCCCAGGACAGAGGTTTTTTTTTTGCGAACCAGTGGTAAATGAAAAAATTGACTTTCAATAAGTATTGTTTATAATCTACATTGAATAAAAAAGTTTCTGTTTCTGTTTCCAGTGAGAAGGGTGTCCGGTTTTCTACTCTCACCATACAAAACACAGCAGCGTTAAGCTGCTATTTTACGCTGGTATTCTGTGAGAGAATGGTCTCTTTTTCTGCCTAAAAGTTTATTGGTTGACATTACCTTCTCTTTTCTTGCTGCTGCCAAGAGCCCATTGCTATATTCTAGTTTGAAGGGTCTTATCTTTTCTATCCGAGTTAAAATAGAATCGATTATTATTTGATATTAAAAAATATTATAAACAAAAACTTTTATTGTTCTTAAAGATTTTAATGTTTATTATTTATTAGTTAGAATAACACGATTAAAGGTCTTCTTTGGATTATATTTTATAAAAATGAAAATAGAAATATGTGGTTTCACCACATAAAATATTTTGAATCATCCAAGCAGCATAATCTAATAAAAACTAAAATATTTTTCCAATGGCTCCGAGAACAGGCGTTCGTTCGCTCATAACGGATACATAGCAATATCTAATTCGAAAAGAAACCATTAACTATCGCCTTAAAATTAATATTATTTTGAGTTTGAAAAAAAAAAACATGACAGACCTGTTCTAACATCATTTTGTTTATAAAATTACCATAACCTGAACGACACGCCGGTTTTGCGTTCATGTTGTAGAATCAAAAGAAATTAGTCATTTTACAAAACACCTATAAACACCTTGTCGAAATATTGCCACAATATTTATTTTTATATGTGGTAGATACTGCATTGTATGACTGCATCACACATTAATCGTTCCGACATCGACACACTCTCACGGAATGCTACCGTAAAATAGCAGCATTAATACTACCTGTGTTTCTAGAACCGGTGACTCTTTTTACTGGTTACGAGGCTTTTCATCTAAGTCTTCAGTAGTGACAATGCATAAGCATTTTGATCCTTAATCGAGGGCATGTTGGTCCTAAATCGAGGGTAGACATCTATCGACAATCCAACGGAGTGACTCTGGGAACCCTTGTCTCTCCTTACCTTATAAAACTACTTGATGAGTAACTTTTTTTCGACTACATACTTTGAACCGATATAATATAATTAACTACTAAATTTTTAATTGTATTCAACAAGTTATTCTTAAGCAAAATCCTAAATAACTCAATCTTAACTAAAACATAATAGCTAAAACTTTCCATACATAATATTTTTATTTGCATGCCAATTACAAAAATATTTAATATCTTAATAATGAATGAAAATGCACACACCCAACTGTGGTTAACTTAGTGTATAGAAAAAAGATGCTCAATATCAGCCATCCAATTGTCCGTAGTTCCATAAACTATGGTCTCTTTTTTTAAATTATTCAGAGGGCCAAAGGCGATTAGCTCACAATATGAAGCCAAAATATACAGATCGCTGTATACTTGAAAACCAAAATAGTTTATGGTCACTTTTCCAAAGCTTGATAGTTTTGTCACTTTCTAATGCAGCAGAAGCTGATATTCTCGGTGTGGTGGCATGCAGTGCATAGCACTGTGTCAGTGTGCCCTGAAAGTCTCTGTACTATTTATTTTGATTGCAGATTCCAAATATACACCAGATTATCTTCTGAACCTGAATCTTCTTCTTCCTAATTCGAACCTAATTCTTCTGAACCATTATCTTCTGAACCTGATACTATCCATTTTCCACCTGTAACACTGAAGTTAGCAAAAAGGCATTATTTTTCATTCTTGTGTACCGTATATGTCTTAAGACACTTTTCTCTACTGTAGTCCCATAATTTAAGTGTGTTGACCAATGTTGCAGCAAGAATATATTTTCTATTTGGGGAGAATTTCACAAAAGATACAGGTGGATTGGCATCATCTACGAGTATTAATGTTTTACTCTGAAACAGGAACATGTTCCAGCTTATAGCTTGGTGTTCGTCATTAAGTAGAACCTTTGATTAATTACATTAATGGGCCGCAAATCGTAACATTGTTACTAAATAACCGAAATACTAAAATATCGCAAATGCGAAGAGAATCTCGTGTATTGTATAAACAAATCATTACCTTCATAAGGGTAGTAATAGTAGAATATAAAAGTGTAAAACACCATATAACGTATATTACTACTGGTCACAGGCCTCCTCTGGTTGCTGAAAGAGTTTTATTGCAAGAAATGTGAATGAAATATGATGGATCACAAAAGTTCTCATAGATATATGGAGAATTATTCCACAATTATCAAATTACTATTTTTGATCTACTGATCGTAAGCGCAATTGCCCCCGATTTGGATCCCGAATCTGACCAAAAATTAGTTGTTGGTTTTTTCTGTTAAGTAATTCTTAGTAAAAGCCAGGAGTTGGCGGTGATTTTTTACGTGCTGATTAACAGGGTGATTAAAACCATTAGTCCTGCGCCTTATCTCTCTTCAGTCGTGTCGGTCTATTGAAGTAAAGGAAAAGAGACTACACCTGTACTATATTATTATATTTCCCAAATGTAACTATCCAAATCGACGACTGTAGCGGAGTCAAATATGCAAGACGTCAAGTACCGCGATCACAAATAAATCCGCCCTTCGGAAAATCCAAAAACGGCAATGAAACAGCAGGCAGTTAGTGAAAATATGTTTATACCATAAAGCTAAAAGAATCGTCAAAATTATTATCAACTCGGGCGAAGTTATAACATAATACTGACTGCAAAATAGAGCTTTTTTTATAGAATAAGGGTGACAAACGAGCAGTTCACTACAGTTCACCTTATGGTAAGTGGATGCTGTGGCCCATAGACATTTATCTTCCATTTTAAAATCAAAATGTGGATGCGTTGTCAACTTTGAGGACTAAGATGGAATGCCTCGTTTTCAGTAAAAAGGATCTTCGGTTCTCTACACTCACCATAAAAAACAGAACAAAGTTAAGCTCCTATTTTACACTGATATTCTGAGAGAGCGTGGTCCTAACCCGGTCGAGCCCACCCATTGGTTTTACAACCATTATATAGCTGCAGCGTGGCTCTACCAAGTATAAAACATAATTCGACAATTTTTAAAAAGTGCCTGCAACATGGGTTTTATTGATTAATTTAGAGATTTTTAATCTTAAAACCCCGGTCAGGACGAAATTGCCTGTTCCTATCTAGTTTTTTACTATAAAAGACAAGTAAGATTTTGACTTCAGCCAGTGTTAAAGACATATTTAACTAAGTAAAAATGGCAAAGCTCCTGGTAAGTCCTTACGTCATCATGAATTTATGTCGCTTAAAAAATAGTATATCCATAGATATTTTGTTCACAATCATGTTTATTTAGTACAAATAATGTAAAAATTATTTTTACAGATTGTTGTGCTTGCGTTGATTGCGGTGGCGGCGGCCAAACCTGGTAAGCAAGTTGTTTATATACGAGTATCTTTTATTTATAAAATAACTTTCTTGGAAATAACGATGTCAATGAAAGCATGTAGCAAGTAACATCCAGCATGAGACGTTCTTTTTTTTTAAATAAAACTCAAGTCATAATCGAACTTACTCATCTTGATGGTAAGTGGCTGCTACAGTTCGTGGACATCTGCGGCCAACTTTAAACAAAGAAGGCTCAGATGCATTTTCACCTCTGAGGACTAAGATGAAATGTCTTACAGACTGTGGTCATAATGCTGATACATGGAGTACCCTCAGACCAGAAATCAGTAGTGGAAACACCGACAAAAACAGAAATGTTTGCATAGTGATGATACCATGTGCCCATAATTTTGTTCCTTTGAAGGCTTATTTTTCATTCTTTTAATTTATTTAATTTTTATTTAATAGTTAATTATTTTTTTACTTATTATAAGCCAGTGCTTGACCACAATCCTACCGGATGGTAAGTGTTGATGCAGCCTTAGATGGTAAATCGTACTGTTTTAGCGTAACAAAAGCCTGTTCACTCTTACCATGAAGATTCTCCGATTCAGATTGTGTTCGGACGGAAAGATAGACGCCAGCGAATTATTCCACTCCGTTGCTGTACGTATTACAAAAGATCAATCCAACCGTTTGGTTTTAATGCATGGAATATCGACAACAAAGTGGTGTAGACCAGCCAACCACCTGGTCTTCCGATGGTGAAAAGGAGAAGAAAAAATTAAATCATGTGTTCGGACGGAAAGATAGACGCCAGCGAATTATTCCACTCCTTTGCTGTACGTATTACAAAAGATCAAGCCAACCGTTTGGTTTTAATGCATGGAATATCGACTACAAAGTGGTGTAGACCAGCCAACCACCTGGTCGTCCGATGGTGAAAAGGAGAAGAAAAAATTAAATCATGTGATTTCTGCGCACTCTCACCGGAAATCATCCTATAGAATACTGGGAGGTTGGCTACCCTGCACTCGTGCACGAGGCTGACATAATTGGTTTCAACCAAATTAGTATGTATACAGTATGAGTATCTTAGTACATCTCTCGACAGAGTCTAACGCCTCTAGGTGGCATTTAGCACATATGTGCTGGTGCTTCATAAAGGTAAAACGCTTCCCCAACGTGCAGTGCCGCCGCATTCTTGCAAAGACACCTAGTTTACTTGCGGCTGCTTTAGCCACGGACTCAGAGAACCACCCATACTTGAGGTTCGGAAAAAACCCAACCCCTAACATTTGTAGGCGGTCAGTGTACTCTAAAGATACAATCCGGAGTGTAGGAACCAAGGTGCGCGGTCTCCTTTGGCGGTGAAAAGACATCCTTGTGTTTTGTAGGTGTTGAATCTCATCGGCCCATTCGGAGTCTGCCTGTAGTGAGAGATTTCCGCTCTCAACCATAGCTTCTCTTTCGGACTGGAATTGATCCCGACTGGCCCAAGCATTCGGCTGGTACCTCTCCACAACTGTGCTGTCCAAGCAGATCATTATTATGCAGCAGGATAAAGGAACTAGGAAACTCCAGCTCCGACTTCGGCTTAGTCGCGACAGGACTGGAAGAGCCATCAATGACGACTCGGAGAGATCGTTCACTTGGAAAAGTCCTTCACGCAGTGAATCAGACCAGGGGATAAGCCGTACGCTAAAAGCTTGCCTAAACAGCTGGTGCGCGAAACCCTGTCAGAGGTATTCGAGATATCAAGATAAACAGCAAGTGCTCCCTACTGTTCTCGAAGGCTTATTTATGTAGACGACAGCACTGTTGTTGAGTGGCCTTCTAGCGTATGTGAGTGGCATACACTATATAGGAAGGTATACAAAAGTGAAACAATTGAACTATTTTATGCAAATAATTGTAATTCTTAAATTGTTTACGTCATATCTTATCCTACTACAAATAACTTTTATTTGATAATTGAAAAATCGGCCCATAACAATATAAAATTGTGCATGGCCTTATCGATTGCATAATTTTATTTTTAACCGACTTCTAGAAGGAGAAGGTACTCATTTCGACTGTATGTTTTTTTATGTTTTTTTTTATGTGTTAACTCAGAACTTTTTCTAGGTGAACCGATTTTGATGATTCTTCTCATTTGAAGCTGGTGCTTCTCGTGTGCTTCCCATATAAATTTGATCAAGATCTAACCAGTAGTTTTTGAGTTATCCTTAATAATGCGTATTTAATTGACTTCGAATATATTGATGATGTTCTCATATAATTTATATTGAAGTCGGTTGTACAATATTTTTTATTTTACCACTTGTTTGATAATTACTTTTAAAATTGCATTTATTTTTAATAATAACTGAATTCGATACGTCAGGACAAGTCAAAGAGTAAATGACTCCGTGACCTGATTTTAATACCTTTTACACAACTACATAAAAATCCTATATAAAAATAGAAAATATAAGCTTAGGCTTTTTTTCTAAAATTTAGCTTAAAAGCTCTGAACTTACTACCACTGTCCCGGTTATCATGATATCTTAAGGCGACGTTGTCATACGTTTAGAATGGTACAAAAGAAAATATACTAACTATCACCCAGATTAGAAATATAGGCCTACGATTTCTTAATTTACAGGTTATGGTTCAGGTGGTGGTTCAAGTGGCAGCAGCTATGAACAAAGCAGTAGCAGCTTCCAAACTGGGCATGGCAATAACGGCTATGGAGGTGGACATGGCCAAAGCGGCTTCGGAGGTTTACATGGCCAAGTTGGCTTCGGAGGCTTGGGCATCCAAGGGGGCTTTGGAGGTGGACATGACCATGGATATGGCCAAGGACATGGCCAAGGTGGCTTCGAATCTGGACACAGTAGCAGCAGCTTCGAATCTGGACATAGTAGCAACAGCTTCGGTAACGGCGGTCACGGTGGCCACAGTAGCCACGGTGGACACGGCCACTATTGAGCTATATTAACATAAAAAAGTGCTTTAAAGTAATTTTCAGTATGCCATAATATTTTAGTTTTCTTTTTAAATTATTGTAAAAAGACAATAAATATTTTAAATTATAACCTAATTATTGTATTGTATTTGTACCTTTTTATAGGATAGGGTGACAAACGAGCACACAGTCCACCTGATAGTAAGTGGTTGCTGCGGCCCATAGACATCTACATCTATAATCAATTACAAATCAAAATTCAGATGCGTTGTCACCCGTGAGGAGAGGACTAAGATAGAATGCCTCGTTTCCAGTAAAAAGGGTCTCCGATTATCTACACTCACCATACAAAACACAGCAGCATAAAGCTACTATTTTACGCTGGTATTCTGTGAGAGCGTGGTCCTTCCCCGGTCGAGCTGACCCATTCGTGCTACAACGTATAAAAACCACCACTCTACCACGTATAAAAACCTTTAAAAGTATTTTATTTTGTAATCATATATTTATTTATCTTATAAAGTAAAATCTGCTGAAGGGGACAAAATCAATATTGCTCGAAATTTATCATAAATGGGAGAAACATTGAGCAACCAGCGATACTGCTTCCGATTTCAGACAAAATTCATTAAACATTTAAATAAAAAAAGATATCTCCAAAAAACAAAGAAAAGGGTGATTGCGATGTCGCAATTTGCACAATTTTACTGATTAGCTTTAAAACTTTCTACTTAGCTAAATTGGTTTATTTTTTTTAAGTATCTCTTGAACAACATATATTCTAACGGTACGTTTACACCAAAAGCGATTTTGTCGGCCGATTGCGGACAGAATTACCCGGACGAGTAGCTCGGACGTGTATGTGCTTACAATGCAGCAGTGTACCACTTGCGGCGACATTGGAAGTTGCCGGTATTCTTTTCTATTTTTATATTTTCAATATATATAGTCGTTTAGGTTGATAACAACACTGACAGAAACAACAGAAAAAAGACAAAACGATCAAATTAAACTATAAATACACTCAATTTGCACTGTAGATGCCGGCAGTCGGGCGAGAAATCCCAACAAGTTTCGACTCGACGGTTGATCGGCCGTTTTCGTGCGTTATCGGACGATGACGGACGTGTTAGTGTACACGCTCTCTTTGTTTTACAAGTGTTTGACTCGATCGCTCGAGTTCGGCCATCATCGATGACGGATTAGGTGTACCTATGTGAAGCGTAACAGTACAGCTTCAACGATATGAAAGTTGACTTCAGAACAGGTGCCATTCATTAGTCGCATGAGTTTTGAGATTTGCTTGATGAAGAAACGCTACTTTAAAAAATAAATGTTTCACATACAATGAAATATATAGAGTTAACATCGAAAGAACTAGTACTTGTAATTCTGTTGATGACCGTTCCTGCTTCTGCCCATTTTTTACGATTCATGCTGATAATTCTTTTCGGCATTCAAAGTCGTGTAACAGCGTCGTAAGAAAATTCACTACGAGTACCTGATGTAATCCTGTGGGTATCGTAAGACAGGACAGAGGGAAATCTAACAGAAAATGGACAGAAGCATCTTCCTGTTAACAGCTCAAAATCATGAAAAACTTGCATTGCAGACCCACTCCCGCAGCGTGAAAAGTGAGTTCACCGTGAAGCTTTTGATTTTGTAAAAATAACAAAATAATATTTGCGGAAAACTCACAGCTAGACTTTCTCGCTTCCTTTTCTTTAAGGGTACTCCGACACTTGGTTTCTTTTCTATACCGCAGGATACTTACACATTTAGACTCGGAACAATTATTTGCAGACAATTCGAAGCTGAAAACCCGCAGCACTGTAGCCATCATTTTTGTCTCCTTTTCTGCATAGAAGTCCATTGGTTGATATTACCCTCTTTTTTATTTCAGCTGTCAAGCACTGATTACTATTTTCCAATTTGAAGAGTCTTACCTATTCTATCCGACTTAAGATAGAATATATTTCATTGGATTTTATTGGATATTTTTTTCATTGGCAATATTGAAACCACGTAAAATATTTTAATTCATCCAAGCAGCTTAATCTATGAAAACCTATAATATTGTTCCACTTGCTCAAGAGAAGTACTAAGACGAGGAGTAGTAAGACCTGTTCTAGCATTATTATGTTTATAGAGTTACCATAACCTGAATAACACGGAAGTTTGGGGTCGATGTTGTAGACTCAGTAGAAATAAGTTATTTTACAAAATACCTATAAACTCCTTGTCAGAATTATTACCACAAAAGTTAGTTACAATATATACTTTTGTATGTGGTATATACTGCACTGTATGACTGCATCACAAATTAATGATTCCGACATCGACACGCTCTCACGGAATGCGAGCGTAAAATAGCAGCATATATTACTGCTATGTTTCGTTTTGTTAGCGTCGACAACCGGTGTTTCTTTTTACTGGTTACGATCTATGGTATCTAAATCTTCAGTAAAGAAAATGCATGAATATTTATATCCTTAATCGAGGCTAGATGTCTATCTGCAACCCATCGGAGGGACTCTGGGATCCCGTGTTCCTCTTTGTACCTTATAAAACTACTTGATGAGATATATATAACATATCGTACTTAATACTTAGTAGGGAGTACGTTATATATATATATATATATATATATATATATATATATTATATATATATATATATATATATATATATATATATAAACGCTGAACCTGAATGACAGAGTGAGAAATTGTGCGATAAGAGAAAACTGTGGTTTGCAAGATGATTATCAGATGACCAGGATTAAGATGCTTAGGTGGTTTGTTCGTGTAGAAAGAAGGAACGAAGAAAGAGTGACAAAAGTCAACAGAGATAAAATTGCAGAAGTGAACGGCAGAGCCGGGAAGAAGTACCCATACGAAAGTTTATCGACCATATTGGCGAACAATTGAAGATGGGCTAAATTACGAATACCCTTAACCGACGAGCATTTATGCGTAACGAGCATCTACGAGTATAATAATAATAATGTCCTCCAGACCGAATGCCGGCTACGGCGACCTGCCTCAGCGGAGGCTAGCCATCAGCGCAGGACAGGATTATAGTGCCCAAGTGTGTGCGTAAACACAGGTGCACTCTCTGTTCCCTCACTCTCAAAATCCGATGGGACGGTAAACCGACACCACCGAAGAGAGATCAAGCGCAGGACCAACGGCTTTACGTGCTTTCCGAGGCACGGGGTTGAGACACCGCCAACTTCCTGACTTCGGGGATCTACTGAGAATTTCTTGACGGAAAAACTCAATAATTAATTTTTTGGCACAATTTTTTCAGCAGTCGCACTAATACAACCACTAGACCAACGAGCTACGAGTATATAGGATGTAAAGGAGGTGAGATGTTGGTCAGAATAATGCCAAATGGAAGTCCGTAGTCTCTGTCTACCCCTCTAGGTGACATGCGTGAGAGTTTACGTATATATGTTTATATTAAACATACTTTTAACCGATATAGTAAAATAATATTATACTCTGAAACAGGTACACGTTCTAGCTTACAGCTTACGTGTTCACTATTAAATGGAATTTTGGATTAATTACTTAAATGTACCTCTTATTGTAATTTTGGAATTCCGTGTTCACGAAAGAATATCCACAAATGTGAAAATACCAAAAATTAGAAGTAAAAAAATTGATATCGCGTCTATTTAAAGAAAAATCTCAAAAACTTATAAAGAAACCGAAAACAAACGGAAACCTCATTTTAAGTGTCAACTCCAGTTTAAGTGTAGTAAGAGTCAAATATAAAAGTTACAGCATGTATACGAGTCACTGCTGGCCACGACACTCGTTTTTGAGAGAGGTTTAGAGCATGGAATAGTGAATTAAATATTATGATAAATCCCAAAAAGTTCTCAAAAATAAATGGTGAACTATTCCGTAATTCTCAAATGACTATATCTTTGGTCTAGTGGACGTAAGCGCAACTGCTGATGATGTGGTGTCGGGTTCGGTTGGCCCAGTTTGACCAAAAATCAGTTGTTGGTTTTTCTGTAAAGTAATTTTAAGTAATGGCCCGGATGCAAGAAGTTGGCGGTGATTTTATACGTATTAATTAACAAGGTTAAACCGGGCACGTAAGTTCGTAAAGCCAATATGGTTCTGCACGTGAAGCAAATACTGTAATACTGCGCCTTATCTCTCTCCAGTCGTGTCGATCTATGAGAGTAAGGGACTAAAGACTGCACCTGTAATTGTGCACACACTCATGCACTAATTTGTGACCTATGCAAACGGTTCTCGACGATGGTCCCAGTTGAGACTGGCCACCATGACCTAAATTTAGTCTAGAGGACATTATTAAGGAAGTCAAGTACTGTGATCACAAATCAATGTGCTCCACGCTAAGCAGCTAGTGAAAATTAATCTTATACCATAAAGCTAATAGATATACCAAAATTATTATTAAATAATATTTGCTGCATAATAGAGCCTTATATAATTTGTCAATTTTTAATTAATGCCTGCAACACTGGTGTTATTGATTAGAGATTTTTAATTATAGATTTTAATCACGACGAAATCGCCTGTTTACATCGAGTTTTTACTATAAAATACGAGTAAAATATTGACTTTGGTCAGTGTTAGAGACCTATTGAACTTAGTAAAAATGGCGAGGTTGTTGGTAAGTTCTAATGTCATTATGGATTTTTGTCTCTTAAGAAATAGTTTTTTCATGGATATTTTGTTAACAATCATGTTAATTTAATACAAATAATGTAAAAATTATTTTGACAGATAGTTGTGCTTGCGTTGATTGCGGTGACGGCGGCCAAACCTGGTAAGCAAGTTGTTTATTTAACGAATATTCTTTATTTTATTTATACGATAACCTAAAACCTTCTTGACAATAACGATGTGAACATAGAATACTATAATAGATACATAATAGAACGGGGGAGTGGGCGGAGCCCGCGTAACCACTAAAATGTCACTAACACGTCAATTCACACGTATAAATGTCAACACGAGATGTGTTTTGACGTTACAATCATTTTCAAATTTCGCATGCAAATTATTAAAAAATGCCAAATTGCACACTATTTACAAATAAATATGTATTGAAATTTAAACGATTTTTTGAACGACGATCTTGAACAATTAATCAAAAGTCTAAAATGTGTAAATTTACTCAGTCTGTCAACACTGCGAATCGGGTTTGGCGACGCCAAGCCTCGTACAAAATAAAGTTGACAGTCATTCTATTGTGTATTAAAGTATTCTATGGATGTGAATGAAAGCTATTAACATCCAGCACGAGACGTTCTTTTATTAATAAAACTCAAATGATATTTGAACTTATAGTCGTCTTGATGGTGTGGCCGTGAAAGGAAAAGGGGAGATCTCCCGCCGGGCAAGTTGTTATGCCCGGGGAGCGGCCAACGCTCCATGTGATTGTTCGGAGATGTTCTATATATACTGTTTCTGATTCGGAATGTTGATAGCGTGATTTAGACTTCGGTGTATTTCGCTTGTGGCGCGACGACAGCGCCGCTACATCACCCCCCTGCTCAGACCGGAGGTCGATAGTGCAGCCTCGTTGTCGACGAATGTGCAAGTGCCAGGAGATTGCCTTGTAGTCTGCGGTGAGTCGAGAAGAAGGCAAGTAATCTGCGAGAGCGCCGTGAAGCAGAGGCGAGCAGTGAGGCTCAGAGCCGTGCCGAACACTGTATAGCGCAGAGAGTAGCTTGAAGGAACAGGAAGCATTATTATTCCAGTGCTGCGATGAACCTTGTGAAGCTAGATGGCTTGCAGGATATGAAGACTGCAGACGATATCTGCTCGGGAGCGATACGGTGGGGTATTCAATGACGATGATGAAGCTTGAAGTTTCCGAAAGTTGTTGGTTGCGTGTTCAGATCACGTCGGGGTCACCACTGTGGCCGTGAAAGGAAAAGGGGAGATCTCCCGCCGGGCAAGTTGTTATGCCCGGGGAGCGGCCAAAACTCCATGTGATTGTTCGGAGATGTTCTATATATACTGTTTCTGATTCGGAATGTTGATAGCGTGATTTAGACTTCGGTGTATTTCGCTTGTGGCGCGACGACAGCGCCGCTACAATGGTAAGTGGCTGCTGCCGTCTATGGATACCTGCAGGCAACTCCAGGTGGAGAAGGCTACAGACGCATTTTCACCTCTGAGGACTAAGATGGAATGCCTTACAGACTGTCACTATGCTGACTCTCTATACTCCTTACACTGGAACACAGTAACGCAATCACTGCGGCTTGACGACAGAAATAGAAACATTTGAATAATAATGATATTATACAGACACAAAAAAAGAAATTTTTCTTCTATAGTGATCATGTCTGAAACGGTAGCGTGATATCCTTTTTAACCGACTTCAATAAGGAGGAGTTATTCAATTCGTCTGTATGTTTCTTTTTATGTGTGTTACCTCAGAAATTTTTTCTGAGTGAACCGATTTTGATGATTCTTTCTTGATTTGATCTAGATCTGACCAGTAGTTTTTGAGTTACCCTTAAATAATGCGTATTTAATAGACTTCGAACACATTGATTCGATCGTATTAAAGTCGGTAATACAAAATTTATTTTACTACTTGTTTAAATATAATGTGTTATATGTATTTTAAGGCGTATTTTTCATTCGTTCGATAAAAAATAATATAATACCATCCGTACTAACTTGTCTTTTGTAAAAAAAATCACTAATTTGTAAGCATAGTTTTCGACGACCTAGCTTACTTGGACTACCGAAGGTACGAACAAACTACGCAATAAATAAACATTACTTTTGAAGAAGCACAGCTTTGTAATAAATTTGCTTGTAATATAAAAATTGTAAGCTTATTTAGTAGTTTTAAGTCTCAGCTGTCTCAACATATTATACGATAGAACCGCGATAAGATAAAGACCAAGAGAAACTTTAAAAGTTTTTAGTTATTGAGGTTTTTACTTACCAAGGGTTTAAGTTAAGGAGTTTTTATTGATTTATGTTTGTACTTACAGAGGTTCGTTTATGAGCTTTGTTTAGGAATTTATATACATACATAGATGAGATAGGTGAAATGCAAATGAGACTTAAATGTTAAGTCATACATATGTACATGTATGTATGTAGGTACTTTATTTTTTCTACATAAAAAAATCGGTATTTTTTTATTCCAAACCATTCATAGTTTCTAAATCACCTTTATTTTCAATATTAAATAAAGAAGAGAAAATATCATCATCTGTGTTACTGCATTGCTCTATAGAAGATCGTAAAAATGTCTAAAAAAGCTAATGATACAAAAAAGGTTACTGTACTTAGACCTTAGTGTATTGTTTACATTTGACGCCATTTGGTAAACACTGTAAGCAATAATCTAATGATCTACAGGGAACCTTTATTGTATGCACATTCATTTAAAATGAAAATGAGTCATTGATAGATGATTGAAGTTGCAAACGTCTTCTTGCTTACAACTTTGCGAGTTACTGAGGTGCGATGCCCAAATTATTCCTTTAAGTTATAGAGGGCTTGTATTTTAAGTAAAAGAGGTTTTGGACTCCGAGTGGAAGGTAACACAAAATTTTATGAATTTATAGAGGTTATTACGTTATCGAGGTTTAAGTTATCAAGGTTCTACTGTAATTGAAAATTTTTCACCATTCAATTGAGACTGTGAAGCTAAGTGTTTGGCGACCATTAGAATAATTAGAGGAATTGTTTGTCTTTCTGGAAATATTTTTTAAACCAAAAAAATATTATTTAAATTAATTATAACATGATTGGATATAAAAGTGAAACAATTGAAATTATTATTGAACTATTTCATTCAAACAATTGTAATTCTTAAATTGTTTATGTTGTATCTTACTATGAATAACTTTTGTCTGATAAATGAAAAACCGACCCTTAATAATATAAAATTCTGCACGACCTAATCGATTGCACTATTTTCTTTTTTGATAATTACTTTGAAAATTACATTTACTTTTTTATAATAACTGAATTCAACCTAGTTTTTACACGATCACATAAATCCTATATAAAAAACAGAAAATATAAGTTTGGGCTTTTTCTTAAAAATTTAGTTCAAATTTTTGTACTTACTGCCCGTGTTATCATAATATCGTAAGGTGACGTTTACATACATTTAGAATAGTATAAAATAGAATATACTAAATATCACCCAGACTAGAAATATGGTCTTACGCTTTCTTAATTTACAGGTTACGGTTCAGGTGGAAATTACGGTGGTGGTTTTGGACCTGGATATGGCAGCAGCGGCTATGAACAACCCAGCAGCAGCTTCCAAAATGGGCATGGCAATAACGGCTTCGGAGGTGGGCATGGTCAAGGCGGCTTCGGAGGTGGACACGGCCAAGACGGCTTCGGAAGTGGACTTGGCCAAATTGACTTTGGAAGTGGACTCGGCCAAGGCGGCTTCGATTCTGGACACAATAGCAACAGCTTCGGTAATAATGGTCAAGGTGGCCACGGAGGATACGGCCACTTTTGAGCTACATTAATATAAAAACGTGCTTTAATGTAACTTTCAGTATGCCATAATATTTAAGTGTTATTTTTAAATGTATTGTAAAATTCAATAAATTTTTTAAATTTATTAACCAAATATTTGTACCATTTCAAATTCAATTATTTTATTTTGTTGTAATATTTTATTGGTCATTTTGTTAAATCTACTTAAGTGGTCAAAATCAATGTTACCCGAGATTACTGCTAAATGGGATAACATTTAGTAACCAGCGATACTGCTTCCGATTTCTAGACATAGAATTTTTTTGTTGTTCAACAAATTATTTAAAGAAACAAAGATATCACGAAAATAAACAAAAAAAAAAGAGTGTGATTGTTTGCGGTGTCACAATTTGCAGGCATCTATCGATTTGCTTTAAATTACGCCGACCACCAAACTGCTTCACAGATATAAGAGTTGAGATCGGAACAGGAACAATTGTTTTAATCACAGTTATAGGAATGTACAACGTTACTCAATCCATTTAAAATATGTTACGTTCTTTCATATGGCAAGTGTTATTTAATACACGTTAAAAATTTAATTACCTATTTTGTTTTTAATTTATCGCCAAATGATAATTTAATGTGTTTCAACAACTAAGTATTTAGCATTCTTGCTAAATACTTAGTATAATTTCTTAATTTCTTAATACAATTTCTGTTATTGAAAAAAAATGGTATTCCGAAGCAATCTCGAGCGATCTTAAATAAACTCAAACGTCACAATGTTATTTGTGTAACTTAATCAACAATCAAAATTCAAGTCTAGACTCTGGCCACCTTACTCTTAAAAATCGACGTCTATTTAAGAAATACATACTCAAAGTAGCACTCTCTCTCTCTCTCTCTCTCTCTCTCTCTCTCCTTTCTCTAAATGACAATAGAAAGGGAAGAGTGTAGTGATATTTATTTACCGTTATCGTTACACCCTACTTAAGTCCAATGCTGACAATAGGCCTCTCCATAGGTCTCTCCTTGATCCTCTCCTAGATTGCCTCGTAGGGAGGAATTTGTCATTTTGAGTTGTCGTCAGGAAGATACTGCCGCCTACCCGCTGTTTTATTTTCCCCTGTCGCCCTTTACAACCCCCATGAGATGATATGGGTTAGTGGATATTCTTACACCGCTACTATGACTATCAACACTAAATTTAATTAAGCAATAATCAATCATTCTAAGTAAAGGCATCAACTCTAGAATTAAAATATTAACTAACGTTGTGAAGTTTGGTTTTTACTCGATATTGTCGCCTTACTCGCCTTTAAGATTTGATTAGATTACTCATAAACTAATAAGAAGGCTTAACTTATTTGCATTCAAACTTGTTTCGTATGAGAATTAAACAAATATAATAATATAACTTATAAAAATTTTAACATATTTATTACAATATCATGTTGCGAACAAATTTATTTCGTTACAACTTTTAAGGGTACTAGGTCACAGCGGTGACACTCCCTGTACGTGAGAGCTTAAGCGCCGGTGACCTTGAGTCGAAGCGTGTAACTCTAGGGTTGATATCGAACCGAAATGGAATATTATAGACTTGTACCAAAGAAGATACATAGTAGGTATGTGTTATATATTATGTAAACTTATGTATTCCGGTAGTGAAAGATACGTTCAAATTTAAATCAACTTTATTAAATGAGGAATATTAAAACTTCCGCCAAAACCAAATATGCACGACAGTTAATGGTAATCTTAAATAATCAACCAACACTTATTTCAGTACGCAATAATCAGTATTACCTACTACGCTTTAAAAATAATTTACTCTTATATATTTTTGATTATTATTTTTTTTAGAAAATTCAAAGGTATGCAAGTTTCCTGGGACATGGCGGCCAACAAATTGTTCACTATGTGTTGAGGAGATAAGTCATTTCTATTTCTAATGAAATAATCCATGAATACAACAATGAACAAATATAAAAACTCTTAATAGATATCTAAAGTTTCTTGACTCTAGTGGTATTTTTAATAGTGTATATTTCAGTTAATTTATTTTAATAAAATTATTGACGATATATTAGTTTTATTGTCATGTTATTTCCCCATAATTCTTGTTAAGATCATATCGACTTTCATTAAAATGAGTTCACATATTTTTAGGTATCATAAAACATTATTAAAAATTAAACTAACAAAACAAACAGACCTTGTTTTGTGCAGTGGAATTTATTTTAATTCTAATCACTTAAAATCACTTTCAGTAATACTTATACATATACTATAACATCATTTATTTAATAAGAACATTAATATTTGTCAAAGCATATAAACCTAGCATACACGGTATATTATATATAGCACACACATTTTTTTACGTGGTAGAGCCATGCTGCAGTTATATTAGTAGTATAGTTGTAGCACGTATGGGTCGGCTCGACCGGGGAGGGACCACGCTCTCACAGAATACCAGCGTGAAATAGTAGCTTAATGCTGCTGTATTTCGTATGGTGAGTGTAGAGAACCGGAGACCCTTTTTACTGGAAACGAGGCATTCCATCTCAGTCCTCACGGGTGACAACGCATCTGCATTTTGATTTTCAATGGAGGATAGATGTAGATGTCTCTGGGCCGCAGCAACCACTTACCATCAGGTGGACTGCGTGCTCGTTTGTCACCCTATTCTATAAAAAAAAACGGCTATAAAAACTAATAACGTTACTTGGTAACATAAACTTAATACCTACATGAATAGAATAGTAATAATATGTACATTAAGATATCAGTAATATTCATATATTAATTGAAATATTATATCACTTGACGAATATACTCATATTAACTAATACCGACAAATATCGGTATTACTACTAGCCCTCGGCCAGGGCAGTCGGCGACTGCCCGTTCCACGCCCCGCGCGCCTCTCAAGGCCCCCGCACACATCCAGATACCCACACATAGCCGCAAACGATTTTACGTGCACACATGCTCAAGTGTCGTTTCTTTTCGCGTAGTGTATATATTCTTTGACTAGGTTAAATTTAAAAAATAACAACATTCAAAAGGACTTCTAACAAGATAAATAAGAATAACTTAGGAACTACCAAAGACTTTCTTTGATAGTACACATAGAAGTATTTGGTCATTGCTACTGTATGGGTACTGTGAAAAATACTAAAATAAACGTAACAAATTAAAATTCAAACTCAAATTCCTTGCTGCAGAAAAAAGTATTAAACAAATTAAAGACACAAGAGTTAAAAATAATATTAAGCTTCATGCTCAAGATAGTAGGGAAAGAAATGAAAAGAATCGTAATATTAGATCTTCTACGTATGGAAATGCCGTTTTTTTTAAACTGGCCACTATAAACTGTAATAAATATGGTTCAACTTGGACTTCTAAAGACAAACATAAATTTTATATTTAAAGCATGTTATTCCTTCTTCAAAATCAGTTAGTCGCTTGTTGCTTTGGGTTTTGTTTTTCCTTCAATATCCTTATATAGGTACTAGCTTGCCAGGCAGACGTTGTTCTGCCCTTTTCGACGACCCTTTGTCATGTCCTATTAAAAATCCTTAAATTCGCAAAAAAATTGTGGGTCACTCATGGTCAAAAAAAAAACTATACCATCTCTCAAGTTGGACCAAACTGCACACGGTGTGCAAATTTGATTCAAATCGGTTAAGTAGTTTAGGAGTCCATCGCGGACAAAAAAGGTGACACGTAATTTATATATATTAAGATATCACCATGCAAACTATGAAAATTCAGGTTATTTCTAGTATACGTTCTGACATAGAAACAATGCGTCTCAAACGGCACGCATTATTAATGCCGTATACGGACCTAGCAGTACGTACGAACGAACTGTGCGTTATTGATTGAATAGCCTTGATTCGGGAAATTTTAACCTCACTAATGCACCTTACTTTTGTGTAGTGGCTGTGTGAGAATGTTCACTAGCCCACATCGTCCCGTGAGTGTCGTCAGAGGCGACAGCGGGAAACAAATCAGGAGATAGGAAGCAGCGTCTTCCTAATAACGACTAACAAAATAAAACCTGCGGTTGCCAACCCGCTTGCCAAGCGTGGCAGCTGTTGGAAATATTCCCTCTAAGAGGCAACTCATGGGGGAGGTCTATGCTCAGCAGTGGACTTTAAGAGAATGTTACGATAGCGGTAACGAACCAGAAAGAGGAGGTTGATAATGTCGAATTGAAAGCTCCAGTGAAATCCATATCTACTCTACTCCATATCTAACGTAAAAACTGCGTCAAAAAACGCGGAACTAGCTTTCGGTTTTTGATGTAAGTATCAATACAATAATAAACCATTTGCGACAAATCAGCTCGTCCACCTCACGAACTGAGTGATGACCAGCGAGAGGCTTACGTCACAGAAAGGAGGAAATTTCAATTCAAATGGTTACATGCGATGAGAAATGAATGCTATATGTACGACATTCGCAAGTATATATCACAGTGGTTAGATTTTTTTATAGAATAAGGTTGACTAACGAGCAGACAGTTCACCCGATGATGGATGGAGGATGCTGTGACACATAGACATCTACATCTATCTTCGATTAAAAATCAAAATACAGATGATTTGACATCCCTGAAGACTTAGATGGAATAACCCGTTTCCAATAAAAAATCTCTTCCAATCTCTACACCTACCATACAAAACACAGCAGTTAATGCTGCTATTTCACGCTGTAATTTTGTAAGAGATGGTCCTTTCCAAGTCGAGCCGATTCATGTGTATTTTTTATTTTTATATTATAGGATAAGGGTGACAAACGAGCATTCGGTTAACCTGATGGTAAGTGTATGTTGCGGCCCATAGAGATCTACATGAATCCTAGATTAAATATCAAAATGCAGATGCGTTGTCATTCCTGAGGACTTAGATGGAATGCCAGTAAAAAGGATCTCCAGACTTTACACCCGCCATACGAAATACAGCAGCATTAAGTTGCTATTTTAGGCTGGTATTCTGTGAGAGCGTCTTCTTAACCCGGTCA